TTGCTTAATGGATGCTTCAGCCATTGAAATACCTTTACAATGCAGGTGGGTTTTAAGCATTATCCTTAATTCATGATAATTAGTCCATCCAAGATACTACTTTTTAAATTGAACTCTCAAAATCAGCCTTTGCAAGATGAAGGCAGATACCAATACTCAAAGTTGATTTTCATCATGTCTTGTTTTATGTATATCTTTCCCAGCTGTGTATTTCCAGCAACTGATTCAAAGTCAATTACTTTTGTGGGCTATTAATTTATCTAATTTTTAGTTTAAAGTGTAATTGTGTGGCGTCAGGGCTTTTAATATACAGGTTCTGTTGACTCTTCAGAGAAGTTTATTTAAACTGAGTGTTACCAAATAGCTGATTTTGATTAAATTGCATAAACCAAACAGAGTTTGTAATCTTGAGGCAAGAGCTTGTTCTTGTGTCCTTCCTCTGTGTCCTCACTATGTGAAATTGTTTAAATAACTCCCCAAACAGTTAATTAGGTCATGATATGGATGATCTAAGTGAAATTTAGTAGTGATGTTAAGACAACTGTTACGAAGTTTGACTGCTGTTAGTTTAGCGTTCTCTAATAAATATTTGAGGTAGGATGCTTCAGATATTGCATACTATATAACAGTCTCTTATTATTTGCCGTTTATAGCTGAATGTAGGGGGTTTTTTTAGAAAAAATGGGGGGGGAGAACCAAAACTGCCAGCTTACTCTTCCCCCCAAAAAAAACCCCAACAAAAACAGCCAATGTGGTCAGAACAGGCTTTGTCTGATGGAATACTTGCAACACAATGACTGGGTATCTTTTGGTGTGTGGTTCAATGAAAGTAAAATAGGCATCCGTGTCTGCTGGTTTACTCTACACAGTACCTCTCAATACCATTCTTGAGAAGGTAGACAACAAGAGACATTGATCTGTTGGCTCTGGTTGATTGGTAGAAAATCTTTGTGCAATAGTTTCATCGTGCTATTTTCAGACATCTTTAGCTGGATTGTTCCTGAGTGCTATGCAAATATTAATTTAAGCTTGTTTTATTTTAGTCTGTACATAACTTCCGTGTCCACTAGAAAAGGTATTTCTGTATACATATGCACATGCATTCATATTTCTGTGTGCCAAATAAGTATGTCCTTCTAGCGTGAAAAGCATAGTTAATGACAAGGGAAGAAGCTATGTGTTAGGTCTGTTGTATTAATTAGATCTATGTTTCTCCCAGACTATAATCCCTGACCTCCTGACCTGAAACCTGTTATTTCTTAGTGATTGTGGCTAGAAATAACTGGTTTTTGAAGGAGCAAAACAACTCCCAAATGTTATAGTTCAGTGTTCTTTGTGTATATAATGAACATCAAGAATCACGTGTCATTCAGCAATGTATTTTCCTATTGTATAATGTGTCTATGAAACTAGTTTACTTTTTTTTTTCCCAGCCTTCCTTTGTCACTCCAATATTGTTCTCCCCTGAAAGCTGACAGTATTTTCATATTGGTCTTTTTCTACTTTCATCTCTGTTATAATGGCTCCTAGACTAATTCCCAGAACTGGAGTCTAACTTCACAGTCTTGGGCTGAAAGAGGTACCATAGAGCTTTTGCAAGTGGTGTAGTGTTCTTTGTGCCTATTCCAAAAGTGTAGATTGTGACACTACTTGTTGTTAAGCAGGTCTAGGCAGGTGCTGAGTCAAGTAGCGTTTATCACTTTTCAGAGCCTTCATAGTAATAACCATGAATCTGTAATGATGACTGAGACTGTGTCCATAAGCTTGTGGGTAGATGCTTTACTTGGAACCAGATTTGTGCACTTGGAAATAATGTCAGGTTTCTCTATCTGATTTTGTTTATTCTTCTGGGATGTGAAACTCCAATAGCCCAACACCAGAACTGGTTTTGGTAGGGCTTCCAATTAAACATGACCGGTTATTCCAATTAGGGGATATGCTCAGTGTCTTCTGAGCCTAATTTATGTTGAATTAAACCTTTTCAGCTCCAAAAAGGAAAACAAACTTAGAAAATATTTTGATCCACGTTATTTTCTCTGAACAACTCTATTTCATTGATCATAAACTTTGACAGAGGAGTAACAGTTTTATGATTGAAAAATTTTGTCTTTGTGCCTCCAAGAGGTTTCCTGAATTAACGCTAACATATCTGTAGATGATACTGTCCTTGACTGCCCTGCCCTTCCAGAGATCCTGGTGTTTGCTAGATGGTTTACTTTCTTTTGACCTTAAGAAATCCTGCTAGTAGCATTCTTAGGCAAAATTATGTGTTCAGTTAAGGAGAAAAATTAAGATAACATCTTTTTATAGCTTGTTTGGGACTGCAGAGGAGTCGAATAGGGAAGCTGAAAGTATGGTCTCAACTACTGTGATGGTAATAAATCAAATGTTTGCATATCATTAAGATGTTTTTAAGCAGTGAATTCCTCCCTGTGTTCTGTAGCTACAGAAAGCTGATTAGAATCGTAGAATGTCAGGGGTTGGAAGGGACCTCTAGAGATCATCTAGGCCAACCCCCCTGTCAGAGCAGGATCACCTACAGTAGGTCACACAGGAATGTGTCCAGGTGGGTTTTGAATGTCTCCAGAGAAGGAGACTCCACAGCCTCTCTGGGCAGCCTGTGCCAGGGCTCTGTCACCCTCACAGCAAAGAAATTCCTCCTTGTGTTGAGGTGGAACTTCCTGTGTTCTAACTTAAACCCATTATTTCTTATTCTATTACTGGGCACCACTGAGAAGAGATTGTCTTCTTCCCCTTGACACCCACCCCTCAGATATTTATATACGTTAATAAGATCCCCTCTCAGCTGTCTCCTTTCAAGGCTAAACAGCCTCAGTTCTCTCAGTCTCTCTTCATAGGAGAGATGTTCGAGTCCCTTAATCATCCTCCTAGCTCTCTGTTTGACTCTCCCCAGTAGGTCCCTGTCTCTCTTGAACTCACCCTGGACTCACCAGGGCAGAGTAGACGGGGCGGAGCATCTCCCTAGACATGCTGAGAACACTTTTCTTAATGCACCCCAGGATCCCATTGGCCCTCTTGGCCACAAGGGCATATTGCTGGCCCATGGACAACTTACTGCCAACTAAGACTCCAAGGTCTTTCTCCATGGGGCTGCTTTCCAGCAGGACGACCCCTAGTCTCTACTGGTGTCTGGTGTTATTCCTCCCCAGGTGCAGGACTCTACACCTGTCCTTAGTGAACTTCATGAGGCTCACCCTTGCCCAGCTCTCCAGCCTGCCCAGATCTCACTGGATGGCAGCACAGCCTTCCTGTGTATCAGCCACCCCTCCCAGTTTTGTATCATCAGCAAACTCGCTGAGAGTGCCCTCTGTCCTCTCGTCCAGGTCATTGATGAAGATATTAAACAAAACTGGACCCAGCGCTGATCCCTGGGGAACACCACTGGCCACAGGCCTCCAACTTGACTCTGTGCCTCTGGTCACAACCCTCTGAACTCTGTCACTGAGCCAGTTCACAATCCACCTCACAGTCCAATCATCTGTCCCACATTTCTTGAGTTTTCCTGCGAGGATGTTATGGGGGACAGTATCGAAAGCCTTACTGAAGTCAAGGTATATGACATCCACTGCTCTTTCTTCATCAGCTGATTTTGTCACACCTTTGTAGAAGGACATGAGATTAGTCAGGCAAGATTTCCCCTTGGTAAATCCATGCTGGCCACTCCTGATAACCTTCTTTTCTTCCATTTGTTTAGAGATGGCCTTCAGAATGAGCTGCTCCATCATCTTCCCAGGGATGGAAGAGAGGCTGACCGGCCTATATTTGTCAGCATCCTCCTTCTTGCCCTTTTTGAAGAAAGCTTTGCATATCACCCAGAAAGCTGATAAATGAAAGTTGTTCCAATTGTGTGACTAGAACAAGCCTTAGCATTGAAGGACTCGTCAGAGAAATTATTCTACCCAGGCTTGGGCCATTTGGCTTTTGCTTATTTGTATCTTCAGTAAAGATGCAACCTTTTAAATAAGAGCCCAAGACATTAAGACTAACTTAACAGAGAATTAATTTAAAAGGTCTGATTGCCTCATTCTTTAGGAAGTCTGCATGATATGCATGGATTCACGGAGAAATGAAGTTTGATCTGCAGGATTTTAATAAGTTTTGGAGTAATGGATGGGAGAAGGTAATGTGGTTCAAGAGTATATTACTCTTGAGTCTAGAATTGAGAACTGACTTTTTTCAATTGTCCTGTTTATTTGTAAGCTCTATTTTTTTTAATTCTGTAGTGTAAACAGTGCCAGAATTTGCCTTGAAACATGTGGAAGAATAAAATAACTCTTAAATACTACAACAATGAATCAAAAATATGTAAGCACAGTTAGAGAAAATGAAACAACTGACATAGTAAGAGAATTGTAAAAATCATGGGTAGCTATTGATAAGCAGCCCTCCTAGCTTTTCTCTAATCTTTTCTTTTAAAGAAAAAATACTTTACTTGGATGTCATGATGTAAACTTGAACCAGAACTCTGTTCCTGGGATGTGGTTTGATATGTCTCTCTCTTAAAATGCAATAGTTTCTCAAATTTAGTAACAGCTTAATTATCATAGATTAATAATTACCATTTTTAAAGGGATATTTTGATGCAAGTACTGTTTAATGCACTGAAGTTGATTCTGTTTCCTTATCTGGATTGTTCTTTAAATGGCCATCTCCTTGGGAGATGGAAAGAACACAGAATATATGGACTAAACCAAAATGAGCAATATCAAATGTGTGAGCTATATCAGTTCTGTAGCCTTGTGTTGGTTGGTGCTGACTTTATGAAGATCATGTTTAGGCTGAAGTAAATTTTAGACTGGCTTATTGACATAGATTTTGTATCAAGGGGACAGTTAGCCAAATCCTGGGGAAGAAAAAAATCTTAGTCTAAATGGGGGTAAACCTATGAAAGTTTAAAAATGTTGGGGTATTTTTCTTCTCTTTAATAATGCCATCCCAGCTCAAGTGTTTAAGTAGTTATTTCTTGCTTTTTCAGTGTGGAGATTGGTGAAAGTGTGAGAGGAGAAGATGTGTATATCATCCAGAGTGGCTGTGGAGAAATAAATGACAACTTAATGGAACTGCTCATCATGATCAATGCTTGCAAGATTGCATCATCCTCCAGAGTGACTGCTGTAATTCCATGTTTTCCATATGCCAGGCAAGATAAGAAAGACAAGGTAGGCAAGAACTGTGTAATTTCAGGAGGTTTTCTCAGCCTATTCAGTTGGAATTTTGGAGATGAAACATTTTATAAACATTTAAGTGATTTGAGAGATTTGATTTTTTTTTTTTTGTTGTTGTTCTTTTATGGTAAAATGTTCAATTTTATCTATAGATGAAGTGAGGGGAAAAAAAGTGGTTTTCTTTCCTTGTGTTTTGGTAATTGCCATGCCTGGAGTTTGGAAAAAGTGGTTGCATTCTATTTGTGTGGCATATTATAGTCTGCTGGCAAGCCTCACATTATGGTACTAGTCTTCCTGTGTTTTTTTTTCTTTTTTTTAATCTCTGTATATGAAGAGAAAACATACTTTTAAACATTTTAATGGCATGGAATTATATCCCAAATTTTAAATGCTCATAACCCTTATATATCTGGGTTTTACCCTGTATGGTTAAACAGAGAGCCAGATAGAAGGAACTGATTAAATATGCAATGCATAACAGTAATAAAAACATTTTTTGTATTGCAAGGCAGATAAAAAATTATATCTGTAATAATTACTGTTATTGATGCAGAGTGAAAATTGTATAAAAACCCCATAAATGTTCTTCTGATCTTAATGCCCTTTTCCTGAATTTGTTCTGTCCTAACTGCTAAATATACCAGTTCGGCTAAGTTGAAAACACAGTCACAAACTCGGTGGCAAGTGAGTTTTAGTTCTGAATTTTTAAAATTAATTTTCCTATCTCTACTTTATATACAAAAAGCCTTTAATAAGCTATGTGAATGAAACCTTTACTTAAATTCACTTGAAATGAACTAACAAGAACAAATGTAAATTTAACTTTTAAGATTGTATTGCAATGGTTGTCCTTTTGGAAAATTGTCCCTCTGATAGTTCCCATAAATGGACTGTCCCCTCTTTTTCACTCTGGGCATCAAGCAAACTATCATGAAAGGCTTTTGTTCTTCACATTCTTGTATATAAAATGTAACACTGAGTAGTAATGCAAGAAGAAGTAATAGTAGATAGTACGGAATAAGCAATGCTCAGCCTGTGATATCTGAGAACAAAACTAAATATAGAGAACTTTTCTGTTATACTCATTCTTTAAGTGCAAGCTGTCAAGACCCACTTGTTATACTTACAAAAATAATTCAGGTGTTAGATGGCAGCTCTCTATTCTTTGCCTACATCTTTTGAAATTTCATTTTTTTTAGTCTTTTGTGCTGAATAGTGCTCTCTCAATCAGAAGAAGTACTTGTTATCAAAAGACCTTAAAAGGGAGGCAGTAAACTTCTTGTATAAGGGGAAGGAAAGCATCTCACTGTTTTGATTTCCAAATTCATATTGGAAGATTCTGATGGACCATCCTATAAGTTCTTGGTGTGGGAAAACGATGAATATTCCAAAGTCTTCCATGGATCTAGGTTATGCCTTGTCAAGGGTACCCAAAATCTTTGTGATTGACTCTGAAGAGACACTTAAAACTCACAGTGTGGTGGCCCAGTATGCCACCTAGATGGGTTTTGTCTTTTGGAAATGCTATCTGAAGATGGACAACCTAGGAAAACTATTTTAATTAACTAAGATTTTGAGCACTGTTACAGACTGTTCTCTGGGTGTTGCAAAGTCCCTGCAATTCTGGGCAAATTATTTTCTTTTTTCCCTCCCCCCCCCCCCCCCCCCCCCCCCTCTTGTTTCT